TTATGATCTTGACTCGGAAACTCATACTTTGGCTGCAAAACTCTCCTCTGTTGCTCTGCAAACTCTTCACAGCAATTAGAACAAACATAAAGTGGGGGCAAAGTATCAGAATCATCAATCCCACAGGATCTCGTATGCTGCCAAATCTCACAAACGTCACAAGAAATCATCCTCTCTCCATCATCATCTCTAGCTTTGCAAACACATTTCACCATCCACGTATGACACCCACCTTGAAACTTGAGCTTCGATTTCCTCAATCCCAAACCCTCTCACTGTCAAAGCAGAGCAATTCTCCACTCTTCCAAACAGCAAATTCCTATCATCTTCCTCAAGCTCATCGATCTCATTCACCGTGAAGTTTGTTAGAATGCAATAAGTATCTCTGAAAGTGTCTTCAATAGCTTGTTTCAGATCAAAGACTGTGGCTTGCAGCAAGACTGTGACTAACTCTCCTGGTGGAAGCTCATTGATCTGTTCTGATCTCAGATCAATCAAACTTGGATCGATACTTTAAACAAAACGCAAGATTTGTTCATTCTTATCCCATACAGGCCACTCCTTTACGAACTGTTTACTGTCTAAGATCACTTGGCTTGCAGACCTCACGGTTTCAGATTCAGGGTAATCCAAAAGCACATTTGTGTTCTGGGTTTGATTCAGTGGCAACAATCCTCAGAGGAACCACCTCTAACGCAGCTTCTTCTCTCTTCGGCCAATCAGTTTCGTCGCATCATGATGATCATCACCAAGCTCCTGGATTGTGTAATGTAGTATCCTTGTAAGCGGATCAACATAACGTCTGACCAAAACATTCCCAACAACAACATTGTTCATCAACTTCAACACGTAATCAAGCAGACCAGTGTCTCCATATGTAATCTTGCTGCATCCCTCACATCTTGACGAGTCATACCGTTCTGATTCAACGTTTTCATCTCTTTCAGTGACTCTACAATCACTTCAGCTGCGTATTCAAGTCTCCTCACTGGCCATCTACTTCCCAAATTAGCTGCAACATCGCTATAAATCCTAAACCTCTTAGAAGACTTCTCATTCTCCACAGCATCACTCTTCTTCAAGAACAGTCTGTTGGATCTTTTTGAATGAGGACTCTCCATTGTAGGAGGCAAAACCGCTGCACGAAGCTTACTACTTTGCTGAGCATGTGACTTTATAATGAGCATAAACCTCAAAAGATCTCTCAACGTCTTTAAACGACCTTCACTCATGTCTCTGTAGTACCTGAAGATCTGCTTGACCTCTTTGAACTGTTTATGCTCATTGAAATCAGATTCAACCTGATCAAGTTCAAGAGAACCTAAAAGCTCTATAGCATTCTCGTAATCGCTCTTGGTCACACCGTAGCTTCCACGGCAAAACTTGTATCCCCACCTTCCAAACCAAGAATGGCCGTACGCTACTCCATATAACAACCGAAGATCTAGAGACCTCTTCTTAGAGATATCTTCAACTTATCATCCTGCACAGAACACACACACACTCATACACTTCAATCTCTCAACCATGAAAAAAAAAAATGAATATTGTATACAATGTTTCCATTTCTTTTTACCTTGCTCCAAGGTTTGTACATATTCGATCCCAAAGATCCACAATTTCTCTTCCGCATAAGTGTTTTGATCCACCTTCCATGCCATTGACGCATATCAAATGACCATATCCATTGGTGTGAATCATTCCGTGTAAGAGATGCGTTTGCAGATCAAACACATCGTCTTCTAGAGGCAAATTCCACTCAGTATCATTCGGTATGATCAAATGGTACTTTCTCTTGATACAAAGTGGTTACTCCATCCTAATATAAACACCAAATCACAGTTAATCATCTCTAATGCAATCGTTAATCATATACAGAGAGATAATGCAAAAATCTTACATCTCTACAGAGAAATGCAATTTTCCAGTTTCATCACCGTTAGATCGATCATACTCATCAAAGAAAACCCAGAAGCTCTCAATTTAACATCAAACCGTAACCCAATCGTTAATCACCACCATTTACAATGACAAATGCGAAATTCCTATTTTTTCGACATACTCATCAACCAATTACCCAGAATCTCGATTTTCACAGCAATTCGTAACCCAAATCTACTCAAAAAAACAAATACCGAATCGATTTATGTCACATTACGACTAACTAAACCTCAGTATCAATTTACAACATCCGATTCCAAATCCGGTATCAGAAAATTGAAATCGAATCAAACCCAATAAGAAACTGAGAACCCAGAATTACGGAAAACGAACCTGTGCATCTGCAATGGTCACAGTAAGGCTCCGGCTAGCGAATGATATCTTCTTCGACTGTGTAAAGTGGAATCACGGTGTTCTTCGTCTCGTGGCTGAGAAGCGTACACCAAACAGGCATACCGCGGATGCTATAGTCTTCAACCTCCGCGAAATCACGCAGAAAAACCCTAATGTTGTCACGGAAACTTCTAATCCGGCTAATCGGAAACCCTTCTTCTCCGAATCGCTGCAGATTGAACAGCTTCGGTTTCCTCTTTCTCTTCCGGCATGTGTCGATTATTGGAACCGGCATCGTGAGGCTACTCTGTGATCTCAAATTAGGGTTTCTGTGATTTCGGATTTCATAAGCAACAGAGACGAAGATCTCTCTCTCTCTCTCTCTCTCTCTCTCTGGAGATCTCTCTTTGAAATTTGCCGCGCTACAATTTGAAACAGAGCTTTGAGAAAATACCTTGAGATATATGACTATTTACGTGATTGCCACTCGAGCTTGTTATGATCTCGTCAGGATCTAACGGTTGAAAATCGATATTAGTGATTAGATGCATCTTGGCCGTATATCTGTGTAACCGTATGTTTGTTATGCTCCAACTTCCTTTAAGATGCGTTGACTAGCAGTCAGTCAACAGCAAACTGAGAACCCACACACAAGAAAAATACTATTATTAATTTATGTTTAACTAATTTGTTTTTAAAATTAACAAAAGCTTCTATTATAATGCCGATTCACTAACAAATAGGAAAATAAAAATTAGAATATTTATTACCATTACTTTTTAAAAAGTTATTTAAATTTTTTTAACAAGGAAAAACATTAGAATATCTATTACCATAGTCTTAATTTAAAAAAAAAATTGTTCCATTATCTGATTTAACTTAATGGTAATGACTTAATCATTACTTAGATATGTGATACATATCTAGATTTGCATATTTGATTAGGAGCAAAATTTATTAATAATAATTAGGATTATCTAACAACATTTTATTCTTAAACAAGATCTAAATATAAAATCATTATTTTTACACAAATGTTTACATATTTCACTCTCTTTTTTAATGCATTAAGAATTTAAGATACAAACTATAAACATGTTATTCTTAATTACGTTTGTGCAGGGTTTAGAGTATTAATCGAGTTCATATGAGTTTATGGTTAAATTAGGGTATAGGGTAAAGACTAAAGAGCTTAGGATGTTCGATGACTGCATCAAGTGTTTCCAAGACAAGAGTCTACTCTGAAACCGTTATTAGGAACAAAAGAAAGTGATCGAAGCTTAATTATTATGTGAATATGTACGAATATATTTCAAACACCAACGATCTCTTATCTGATAATTTACGGACTGTGATCGCAAACTTTATCATCTCCTTCATGTATTTTTTGGACGACTGAGTAGTGTGAGATTGTTGTTAACTAAAATATCTTAGAGTAAAACAACTTTTTTATTATCTAAAACATCACTCTACTTACAATAACATAGAGGAAGTACTTATTAACTCTTAAGTTTATTTAAATATATATGGTTATTATAACCATATATAATCAAGAGCTTGTTATCTCATAAGAAACCGTATCCTAATTGGCTTTTGCTTTGGACTTTGATGGTGCAGCTGCGGTTGCACCCTTTGCTTTGGTAGATGAACTCTTTTCTTTGGTAGGTGAACTCTTTTCTTTCGAACTTTTGGCTTTGGCCTTGGATTTGGATGGTGCAGGTGCTTTGAGTCCAAGCTTAGTAGCAACCGGTGCGACGGTTTCTTTAGTCTTGTCTTTCATTCTGGTGAGAAGTGGTGCAGGTGCTGGTGCCTTGCTTTCTTTGAGTGGCTTAGCACCGTTTGCTAGTGTGATGGCCATAACCACCACAAGCACTACAAAGAGGAACGTCTTTGCCTTGCACAAACTCAACATCTTTTTATTCTTTTAAATTTATTGATTTTCTTGTTCTTTTTTTTCTTTTTTTTTTCTTGTTTTTGTTTTTTGTTTTGTGGTTTGGTCTTATGAGTCGAGAGTCCGTTTTATACAGGAGCAAAAGAAACTTGCAAACCACAAACTCCTACGTTCCTTAAAAATAGTATTGACCATTATATTTTGAGATATAATGAGAAAATCATGCACGATCCTTTAGACTTGGTGTGTTTTCTATTTCTGAAGTTTATTCTTTTTGATCCACTAAACTTACGGAAAATTTTATTATTTTTAATTTAAAATAATTATTGAGTGAAAATGAACAAAGCTGGATTCTCAGATCTAGAACTTGAAGAAGAAATGAGTATGAAGATAAAAGTTGTTATTAGCTTTGTTAACTGTACAAAGATGCGTTTTACATGTTTATATACAAAACTACTTAACCATAATAAACCAACTACAATCATAGATAACCGGTTCAGGTCTAATAATAATCAAGCCAATGATTTTTTTATTTTTATTAATATTATCTATTACAAATACTATTTGAATTTCTTACATCAATGATTTTTATTAGTGAATTTTGTTTGTTTTTTCATTAACGTGCTATCTTCCACTTTCCAATATTTGGGCTGGCTTAGTGGGGGTACAATCGGTTCGGTGCCCGAGGGTCTGCAGAAAAAAACGAAAGATTAATATAGGAAAGGGGCACAAAAAAAACATTTAGAAAAATGGGCACATAAAAAGATTTTTTTTGATTTTGCACCTAGACTTATAAAATCATTGGGCCGCCCCTGAATACTTGAATATTATATCACTTATATACGATAGCGTTCCACATATCGTATCACTTATTTTCAAGTTTGATGTCAAAATGAACTATCCTGGTTTGCAGCCCTGGTGTAGGTAATCAGTTCCCGGAGCAGTCTCATACAATGTAGTCACGTCAAGATACAATGGCTTCTTCGTAGAGATGAAATCATGCAGACTTCAATTCTCCAGAAACTCATACACGGATACACCAGCGCTCTTTTGGAATCCCAGGAATGGAACGATGTTGACATGTGATGTGTGACTCAGGATAGCGACTTTGTTAATGAACTCTTTACCACTGCTCTAAACACCTTTCAAAACCTTCACTGCTTTTGTGATTTTCTTCACTTCAGCATAACTGTATTGTCTCAGTTGTAGCGCCTTCAGGTATGTGTAGTGAAACTGCTTTGAATATGCTAAAGCCTACTGCAATTAACCCTAATTTAGTTTTTCTAAATATTAATGACTAGAGAAAAACACCAAGAAAATGGAGAAGTTTGTGTAGGACTGTGAATAAAAAATTTATTTCATTTCCTATTAACGGAAAAAGGGAGAGTTTATCCTTTTATTGCAAGTCTATACTAAGTAAAGATAGATAAAACATCAAATTTCTATTAAGTGGGTACACATTCCACTGAGTTGTCAAAAAATTGGTTTACAAAAAATAAGCATAACATAAGCATATTATAAGCAAAATATATGCAAATCTTAAGTAAAACATAAGAAATATTACAATTTTATCATATTTTGTTAATATATGATTTCTTTCTAAAATAATATGTTCAAGATTGAGAGTCCGTATGATTGTTTTCATTTCAACATTTAACATTTCAAAAAAATATTAGCATTATTTCTTTATTTAAAATAAATAATGTTATATATATGCATGCAAATATATCTTGTAATGTAAATTAAGAAGATGATACATATCATAAAATTTAAGAGGACACATGTTAGCTTATCACAATGTGAATAGAAGTAATCTTAAAATATTAGAATAGATTAATTAACAAATAGATGAATTATTGCTTTGAATTTTCAAGAAAAGAGGAATAATTTTTGGGGCATGGATGACGCCAGTCTTCCTATATTGAAGTACAGTTACGACAACTTGGCTGGAGAATATGTTAAGTTCGTTTGGATCCGAGATACATGCATTTCAAATTACTTGACGTGATCAGGGAGCTGGCACTGTGGATACTCAGTGACTACGACAAGCTTAGCAACAAGGTTGTCGTGCGAGATGATGGTATGACGTCAAATGAAATGGGAGAAGTTGATTGGGAGCAACTGAGCTGCATGTCAGCAGCTGTACGTGGACAAATAGGTATCAAACCACCTGAATGCCCCAACCTTACCACTTTGATGTTGCATGATCCGATTTGCACCGAGGATTTCTTTCAATTCATGCCAAGATTGGCTCTCTTGGTATTGACAGAGGAGTATGGTTGGGGTTTTAGGAGAGGGAATCAATTTCAATTTTCAAGATTATGCTCCTAATTAAGGTCTCTCGTATTGGTAAGCTCCTTTATTTTACATCTACGGCCCTTTGGGTTTACTAGAGCTAGACCAGCTGATGTATTACAAAGTTATATATTTTGTAATTTGAATATTTGAACATGTGGTTAGGGAATGAACATGTATGGAGTTTAGAAATCAATGATAAACTAGACCTGGACGGAGTTTAGCTCAAGTTCAAGGTAATATGTGATTTTTTTTTGTTTCAATATATCTTTGATTTTCGAAAATCAGCGCTTGACATTTAGTTTTCTGCTCACTGATTTGAGGTCTTTAGGTTCATTGATGCTATAGGGATTTATCTGAAGGTAATGGCTCTAGTTATCAATCAGGATTGCCTCTCACTAAAAATCCTAAGTTGAGCAAGACTTAAGGTAATTTCAACTAATATCTGATTGTTATCCTTGCAAATATGATAAAAAATGTGACAATATGGATGTATTTGTCTTTCTTATGCAATTAATTAGATCACATTACCTCCTGAAGAAGAAAATTTGCTATCTATAGGTTGGAATGTCACTTGCATAGATTGGGTTTATAGAATCGTAACTCAAAGAACTCAAAGATTAAAGAATAACTCTCTTTATTAGTTTAAGAAAATCAGCTCAAAACTTAAACTCTCTAAGATCATGAGTTATGCCACACCTTGGCATCTCCTTATAAAAGAAACCTTAATCCTATTCCTATTAGAACTCACTTGTGTTTTAGCTAACTCCTAAACAACTTGTGATTTCTCTCTAACCCTATCTCGGCTAGGACTAGGATTCCTTCCTTCTCAAGTCTTCTTCTTCAAGCTTAAGTCAACAGGTTTTGCTCTGCTAAGTCGAAAACTAATCTTCACCTAAAACGTCTTTTGACTATCTTGATACATGGTTATATGTTTAGACTAAACCAAAGGATATATATATATATATATATAACGAGACACATGTAGAGGTAAGTGATTGTCTAACTTAAGTAAAGACTTGTTGAAAACTTGTTGGGGTTTAGTAATTGCTATATTCTGATTTTTTTTTGTTTTTTCAATATTTTTATAGGGTCATAAGAGCTGAATGCTGCGAGTTTGCGTGATCATGAGGAGTGTGCGAAAGTGAAGAACATAGCAGAGATTGAGCTTGAGAACTGGAAATAGGTATTCTTTTGTATATATGATTCAGTGAGTATTTTGTTACAAAATTGTATCAATGATTTTATAATATTTTAATTATATCTTATTGTACAAGTCAAAGTTATGTACCATATATGTAAAACATATTATTTATGATTAATTGAATTTATGCGGTAACTTTTAGATTTTTAGAACTTTTAATATTTTAATTTTAAAATTTATTAAATAAATTTAATAAAATTTATATGTAGAGGCGTCAGTTCTATAATTGACACAAAACAAGAGAAAACTGACGCAAATATTTTTGACGTCACTTATGTAAACGACACTAATAAAATTAGCGTCATGCGATAAACCCGACCCGACCGTATAATTTTGAAGTCAGTAAGAGATAGATAAAACATCAAATTTCTATTAGGTGGGAAAACATATTCATCTGAGTTGTCAAAATTTTGATTTATAAAAATAAGCATTATATAAGCATATTATAAGCAAAATATATACAAATCTTAATATAAGAAATATGAAAATTTTATCATCTTTTGCTAATATATATTTTCTTTCTAAAATCATATGTTGAAGATTGAGAACCCCATATGATTTCTTTCATTTCAACATTTAACATTTTAAAAAATATTAGCATTATTTCTTTGTTTAAAACATAAGATGTTATGTATATATGTAAATATATTATGTAAATTGAATTAAGAAAATCACATATATCATAAATTTTAAAGAACACATGTCAGCTTATCAGATAGTGTGAACAGAGGTGATCTTAAAATATCAGAATATATAAATTAACAAATGGATGAATTATTGCTTTGAATTTTCAAAAGTTACACGTAGAAAAGTATGAGAAAGTCATTTGATCCTTTGAGATCAGCTAACTTTTTTATATCATATATAAAGAGGTGGTGAGAGCTTTAGGTTGTTCGTGGACATCGAGTCATTCTTTCCATTACGATTACTTAACCACACATCCACCTCTCTTTTCCATTCATTATACGCCTTGTGATTCTGTTCATCCTAACACTTACAATTTCAAGTACTCCAGAAAATAAAATTTTTATAGTATTTCAAGAGATCCATACATATGGATCATCCTCAAGTTCCTCGAGTTACGTCCAATAGCTCAAGTATTCCTCTTCTTGGTTGCATCATAGACACTCTTGTTCATCTCTTTTTCCCCTCCAACAAAATCTTGTCTGATGGACAAGGTAAAGAATTCGTCGACATGGCGGTTGAAGAAAATCGCGCAGCTCATAAACACTTTAGGCAACTCAATTGTGCTAAACTCAGTTAGCCCTAACGTCAAGTATTTCTTAATATCTTAGTTTTTCTGCATTTTCATGTTATACATATATTGTGATATTAGTTGCTATAGATTAGAGATTTCAATGAAGTAATCTAGGTGCATGAATCAAGATTATTTTGATTTCATACTATTTGGAATTTTCTTAGAGCAAGAAAATTTGATTTCATACATAATATCCATTAGATGTATTGTGACGCCACTGGTTTGGACTTCGGAGGTTATGGAAGCTAGATTTTTGTTTGTGGTAAAATTTTAAAGCAATCCCATACCTTAATTTCTCTGATCCCCCACAAAAAAAAAAATCTGAAGGCAGATATAATCACTTATTTAGATCACTATATACCTTGTTGTAGTACTATGTATAAGATTATCTCCTGTCTACTTGCAAACTCACTATAAAGCATCATACTATATACTATCATTTTTCACAGTATACAATCGTTGGGCAATATACTATAATATTGGCAATTTATAAATTTATACACACGCATAACATTTATCATATATCTAGTACGGGAAGGATTGTTGTATTATATTCATTAAATGTTCGAAAGATCGGACAAACAGTTAGATAATTTGCGGAATGAGCATGAGAAAAACATATTCAAAAGTAAAGAAGAAAATATGAACATTTTAGTCTTATAAAAAAAGAGATAGCATTTGAGCTTATCTTCATGAGTATAATTTAGGCGCCGAGTTAAAATATCATAAGGTGATGGCTAATAATAACATAATCTGGTCCCATTATCACAACTCACAAGACAAGTGGAGTTGAATTGTAGAAGCAGGGGACTTCCTAAAAGCATCTCCAACCCAGCTTTATATTTCACTTTTATTATTATTTTGGAGCCAATTTTGCTCCAATGTATCTAATCCCATTTTCAATTTCAAAATAGCAAAATGCCATATTTTTCCCAAAATGAGATTGATCCCATTTTTATCTCCATTTTGGAATTGAAGTTCTTAATTTACATAACAGTCATTGAAGTTTTAAATTAGTTCAGTTTAAGATATAAGGTACATTTCGGACTCCTTACCTCTTCCGGTTCCCAAATTAGGTCCATTTGATGTTCCTCCCTTGGATTGAGACCGTTTCACTCATGTTTGTCCTCATAGTCATGTGTAGAAGCTATTAATCCATGTTTGGGTAAGTATGGGTCCATCTAGTTCATCTTATACACTACAAGTGAGTTTCCACAATCTGGAGTCACAGAGGTACATTTCGGACTCCTTACCTCTTCCGGTTCCCAAATTAGGTCCATTTGATGTTCCTCCCTTGGATTGAGACCGTTTCACTCATGTTTGTCCTCATAGTCATGTGTAGAACCTATTAATCCATGTTTGGGTAAGTATGGGTCCATCTAGTTCATCTTATACACTACAAGTGAGTTTCCAATGTGGAGTCACAGAGGTACATTTCGGACTCCTTACCTCTTCCGGTTCCCAAATTGGTCCATTTGATGTTCCTCCCTTGGATTGAGACCGTTTCACTCATGTTTGTCCTCATAGTCATGTATAGAACCTATTAATCCATGTTTGGGTAAGTATGGGTCCATCTAGTTCATCTTATACACTACAAGTGAGTTTCCACAATGTGGAGTCACAGAGGTACATTTCGGACTCCTTACCTCTTCCGGTTCCCAAATTTGGTCCATTTGATGTTCCTCCCTTGGATTGAGACCGTTTCACTCATGTTTGTCCTCATAGTCATGTATAGAACCTATTAATCCATGTTTGGGTAAGTATGGGTCCATCTAGTTCATCTTATACACTACAAGTGAGTTTCCTCAATCTGGAGTCACAGAGGTACATTTCGGACTCCTTACCTCTTCCGGTTCCCAAATTTGGTCCATTTGATGTTCCTCCCTTGGATTGAGACCGTTTCACTCATGTTTGTCCTCATAGTCATGTGAGAACCTATTAATCCATGTTTGGGTAAGTATGGGTCCATCTAGTTCATCTTATACACTACAAGTGAGTTTCCTCAATGTGGAGTCACAGAGGTACATTTCGGACTCCTTACCTCTTCCGGTTCCCAAATTTGGTCCATTTGATGTTCCTCCCTTGGATTGAGACCGTTTCACTCATGTTTGTCCTCATAGTCATGTGTAGAACCTATTAATCCATGTTTGGGTAAGTATGGGTCCATCTAGTTCATCTTATACACTACAAGTGAGTTTCCTCAATGTGGAGTCACAGAGGTACATTTCGGACTCCTTACCTCTTCCGGTTCCCAAATTGGTCCATTTGATGTTCCTCCCTTGGATTGAGACCGTTTCACTCATGTTTGTCCTCATAGTCATGTGAGAACCTATTAATCCATGTTTGGGTAAGTATGGGTCCATCTAGTTCATCTTATACACTACAAGTGAGTTTCCTCAATCTGGAGTCACAGAGGTACATTTCGGACTCCTTACCTCTTCCGGTTCCCAAATTGGTCCATTTGATGTTCCTCCCTTGGATTGAGACCGTTTCACTCATGTTTGTCCTCATAGTCATGTGAGAACCTATTAATCCATGTTTGGGTAAGTATGGGTCCATCTAGTTCATCTTATACACTACAAGTGAGTTTCCACAATGTGGAGTCACAGAGGTACATTTCGGACTCCTTACCTCTTCCGGTTCCCAAATTTGGTCCATTTGATGTTCCTCCCTTGGATTGAGACCGTTTCACTCATGTTTGTCCTCATAGTCATGTATAGAAGCTATTAATCCATGTTTGGGTAAGTATGGGTCCATCTAGTTCATCTTATACACTACAAGTGAGTTTCCTCAATCTGGAGTCACAGAGGTACATTTCGGACTCCTTACCTCTTCCGGTTCCCAAATTGGTCCATTTGATGTTCCTCCCTTGGATTGAGACCGTTTCACTCATGTTTGTCCTCATAGTCATGTAGAACCTATTAATCCATGTTTGGGTAAGTATGGGTCCATCTAGTTCATCTTATACACTACAAGTGAGTTTCCTCAATCTGGAGTCACAGAGGTACATTTCGGACTCCTTACCTCTTCCGGTTCCCAAATTTGGTCCATTTGATGTTCCTCCCTTGGATTGAGACCGTTTCACTCATGTTTGTCCTCATAGTCATGTTAGAACCTATTAATCCATGTTTGGGTAAGTATGGGTCCATCTAGTTCATCTTATACACTACAAGTGAGTTTCCTCAATGTGGAGTCACAGAGGTACATTTCGGACTCCTTACCTCTTCCGGTTCCCAAATTTGGTCCATTTGATGTTCCTCCCTTGGATTGAGACCGTTTCACTCATGTTTGTCCTCATAGTCATGTTAGAACCTATTAATCCATGTTTGGGTAAGTATGGGTCCATCTAGTTCATCTTATACACTACAAGTGAGTTTCCTCAATGTGGAGTCACAGAGGTACATTTCGGACTCCTTACCTCTTCCGGTTCCCAAATTAGGTCCATTTGATGTTCCTCCCTTGGATTGAGACCGTTTCACTCATGTTTGTCCTCATAGTCATGTGGAGAACCTATTAATCCATGTTTGGGTAAGTATGGGTCCATCTAGTTCATCTTATACACTACAAGTGAGTTTCCACAATGTGGAGTCACAGAGGTACATTTCGGACTCCTTACCTCTTCCGGTTCCCAAATTTGGTCCATTTGATGTTCCTCCCTTGGATTGAGACCGTTTCACTCATGTTTGTCCTCATAGTCATGTGATAGAACCTATTAATCCATGTTTGGGTAAGTATGGGTCCATCTAGTTCATCTTATACACTACAAGTGAGTTTCCACAATGTGGAGTCACAGAGGTACATTTCGGACTCCTTACCTCTTCCGGTTCCCAAATTTGGTCCATTTGATGTTCCTCCCTTGGATTGAGACCGTTTCACTCATGTTTGTCCTCATAGTCATGTATAGAACCTATTAATCCATGTTTGGGTAAGTATGGGTCCATCTAGTTCATCTTATACACTACAAGTGAGTTTCCACAATGTGGAGTCACAGAGGTACATTTCGGACTCCTTACCTCTTCCGGTTCCCAAATTAGGTCCATTTGATGTTCCTCCCTTGGATTGAGACCGTTTCACTCATGTTTGTCCTCATAGTCATGTATAGAAGCTATTAATCCATGTTTGGGTAAGTATGGGTCCATCTAGTTCATCTTATACACTACAAGTGAGTTTCCACAATGTGGAGTCACAGAGGTACATTTCGGACTCCTTACCTCTTCCGGTTCCCAAATTAGGTCCATTTGATGTTCCTCCCTTGGATTGAGACCGTTTCACTCATGTTTGTCCTCATAGTCATGTGTAGAAGCTATTAATCCATGTTTGGGTAAGTATGGGTCCATCTAGTTCATCTTATACACTACAAGTGAGTTTCCTCAATCTGGAGTCACAGAGGTACATTTCGGACTCCTTACCTCTTCCGGTTCCCAAATTAGGTCCATTTGATGTTCCTCCCTTGGATTGAGACCGTTTCACTCATGTTTGTCCTCATAGTCATGTATAGAACCTATTAATCCATGTTTGGGTAAGTATGGGTCCATCTAGTTCATCTTATACACTACAAGTGAGTTTCCTCAATCTGGAGTCACAGAGGTACATTTCGGACTCCTTACCTCTTCCGGTTCCCAAATTAGGTCCATTTGATGTTCCTCCCTTGGATTGAGACCGTTTCACTCATGTTTGTCCTCATAGTCATGTGTAGAACTCTTCTGAAGACGGCAATGGTTTATGGAGGTTTTCTGGGAACATCTGCAAATCTTCGTTACCAGGTATGATGGTGTATATATGTAACATCCTCTTCTTACGATTTGATTTATGCCTCTTAACGTCAAAGCGTCTTGAAATGCAGATAATTGCTGGATTAATAGAGCATCGCATATCTGATGAGCTTTCTTCTCAACCTCTACTTGTAAATGTGATTTCATTTGTTGTGAGGACACTTAACTCATATTTTGGAACACAGGTCAGAGTTACATGCCTGTATTTTGGTTTCCTCGTGCTTTTCTGTTGTTTATTTTTGGAAGTTTAAATCCTCTTGATCCCATTTTTTCATGAAAATGTTGCAGCAATGGATTGATCTTGCGCGCTCTACGGGTCTACAGACTCAGAAAAGCATCCTAGCCTCTGAGGAAATTACGGAGCCGTTGGAAGAATCTACTACGGTGGAGAGTAAAGCTACGGAAGAGGAAAGTATTGACAAGCTCGATAATCAATGACACTGTTGAGGTTACCCCACTAGTTATCGATTAATAGCTGTTTTCCAAAAGCTTTTAGATCGTTGAAATGAGCATAATTGCACAATTTTTGTAAAGTTTTGTGTTTGTATCTGTGCTTCTTGGAAATAGTGATGGTTTAAATATAGTTTCTTTTTTTTTATTATACTTTAGTCCTGCTGATCTACCATAGGATCCTATGAGTCGATTGCTTCTCTTTTATTTTCTCTCGAAATGAAATTTTGGTACCTAGTCTTGTCATATTCTTGTAAAGTATCATGTAATGATGTAGCAATGGATGGTGTGCACAAACCAGTTGGATAAACGTTCATTTTCCCAAGTACATTTTTAACAAATGTTGTCCATCTGTTCTGTTCCAATACACATATGAACCTCAAGAAGCATCATTTTGATTGTATGACAAATTCATATCCTTTTACTTGCAGAAGAAGAGCTTTTCTCACAGGATGTTTCTGCTTTGTTGAGGACATTAAAGTGCAGATCAAAGACTGAATCAGTCTACGGCTTTGAAAGATAACGATTATTTACTTTGCTGCTCAAACTCACGATTATTCACTTTTTGAAATAAATAAATGGAATCGCACCTAACCAGATATCAGAAATGTTTTTGAGGACTTTGCACAAATCTCTCAAAACAGACAAAAGTACTGTCTGAAGTCTGAACTCCATCATCGTCATGCTAGAATTAGGAATATTGCTGGGTTCTTTAATTCTTTTGTAGATTCTTGTCCCTCGGAATAATTAACCAAACAGAGTTTTTTTTTTGGTGCAATAACCAAACAGAGTTTCTGATTCAAATGTGAGATTAAGAAAAAGAAAACCTCCGACCTCACCATTAATAATTTTAAATCTTCAGAAGAGAAAGAGAACCATTTGAGCCTTTTGTTTCTCAATCAAAGAAAGTAAGAAACTAATTAATAATGTTTCACTTTTAGACCAATCAATGCGCCCAGCTTTTCACAAAAGAGCTCACTTCCCCATAAATCTCTTTCTTTTCGCCTCTCTTCTTCCACTGTCAGATTCTTCATCTATGTGATCTTCTTTCTTTATCTTTCGCTTTTGTTTCCTCACAGATCTCTTTCTCTCTCTCTCTTCTCCTTATTCCTCTTCCAACTCCAATGGAGTCTAAGCGTAAACTCTGCGCTTACTTTCATCTCTTCCTCTTCCTCTTCCTCTTCCTCGCTTCAATGGCAGAAGCAGAATCAGCTGACCCTCAAACAGAGTCCCTTCTCACCTTAAAATCACAACTCACCGACAATTCCAACACCTTGAAAGACTGGTTCCTCATCACCACTCCCGGAATTTCCGACACCAACCTAGTCGCATGTTGTTCCTGGTCCGGTGTCCGATGCAACCGAAACTCCACCTCCGTTATCTCCCTCAACCTCTCTTCCAAAAAACTCGCCGGAACTTTCCCAACCAACCAGTTCACAACCTTCACCGACCTCCTCGAGCTCAACATCAGCGACAACTCCTTCTCCGGCGAGTTTCCTCCAGACATCTTCAACATCACCACTCTCATAACCCTCGACATAAGCAAAAACAACTTCTCCGGCCGTTTCCCAGACGGTGTCTCATCGCTCAAGAACCTAATCCAGCTCGACGCCTTGAGCAACAGCTTCTCCGGCTCCTTACCAATCGATCTCCCTCAGTTAGAGAATCTCAAAGTACTCAATCTCGCCGGAAGCTACTTCACCGGACCAATCCCGAGTCAATACGGATCTTTCAAGAATCTCGAGTTTCTTCATCTTGGAGGAAACTTACTCAGCGGACACATACCACAAGAGCTTGGGAACTTGAAAACTGTGACTCACATGGAGATTGGTTACAACTCGTACCAAGGATCAATCCCTTGGCAAATCGGTTACATGAGTGAGCTCAAGTACCTAGACATCGCCGGAGCCAATCTCTCCGGCTTCTTGCCAAAGCATTTCAGCAATTTGACAAAGCTTGAATCTCTGTTCCTCTTTAGAAACCATCTCTCCGGAGAAATCCCATGGGAGCTCGGAGAAATCACTTCTCTTGTGAACTTGGACCTCTCAGACAACAACCTCTCCGGAGCCATACCGGAGAGCTTCTCAGGTTTGAAGAATCTCAAGCTGTTGAGTCTTATGTACAATGAGCTGAGTGGGACTCTCCCTGAAGGAATTGCTCAGCTTCCTTCTTTGGACACTCTCTTCATATGGAACAATTACTTCACTGGCTCACTTCCAAGAACCTTGGGGACTAAGTCAAAGCTCAGATGGGTTGATGTGTCCACCAACAGTTTCCAAGGAGAGATCCCTGAAGGTATTTGCTCAAGAGGTGTTCTCTTCAAGCTCATGCTCTTCTCCAATAACTTCACTGGAACTCTGTCTCCATCTCTCTCAAACTGCTCCACGCTTGTTCGTATCCGGCTTGAAGATAACTCCTTCTCAGGTGTGATCCCTTTTAGCTTCACAGAGCTTCCTGATATCTCTTACATAGACCTTTCAAGAAACAAACTCACTGGAGGCATTCCTCAAGATATATCCAAAGCTACAAAGCTTGAATACTTCAATATCTCCAATAACCCTCACCTTGGAGGCAGACTTCCATTAAAGATTTGGTCTGCGCCGCGTCTTCACAACTTCTCTGCTTCCTCCTGCAGTATCTCCGGAGCTCTCCCTGAGTTTGAATCATGCAAGTCCATCACTGTTATTGAGCTGAGTAACAACAGCATGTCAGGGAGTTTAACACCAACTGTTTCTGCTTGCCGGTCTCTTCAGAAGATGGATTTGTCAGACAATAACTTGAGTGGTTCCATCCCATCTGAGAGAGTGTTTCAGTCAATGGGGAAACATGCATATGAGGGGAATCCAAACCTGTGTGGACTTCCTCTGAAGCCATGTGAAGCTTACACAAGCTCAAGGAAACTTGTGTCTGTTCTTGTAGCTTGTCTAGTGTTTCTTGTACTAATTGCAGCTGGAACTTTGGGGTTGTACTATGTTCGTCAGAGAAGTCAAGGTCAATGGAAGATGGTGTCTTTTGCAGGACTCCCTCATTTCACAGCTGATGATGTTTTGAGGAGTTTTGATTCACAAGAACCTACTGCCTCACCCTGCAAAACAGTTCTGCCAACAGGAATAACAGTCATAGTGAGGAAAATCGAACTTCAAGGGAAGAAGAAGAGTGTTGTGTTGAAAGTTCTAACGCAGATGGGGAATGCAAGACATGTGAATCTGGTCAGGTTGCTTGGTTTTTGTTACAACAATCATCTTGCGTATGTGTTGTATGATAATAACTTGCATACCGGGACGACTCTGGCTGAGAAGATGAAGACGAAGAAGAGAGATTGGGAAACTAAGAAGAGGATCATCAGTGGAGTTGCAAAAGGGCTTTGCTTCCTTCACCATGAATGTTACCCTGCAATTCCACATGGAGATGTGAAGTCGACTAATGTTTTATTCGATGATGATAACATGGAACCTTGCTTGGGTGAATTTGGTTTCAAATACATGCTGCATTTGAGCAAAGGCTTGGTCTCTTCAACTGCAAACACAGGTACTGTACTTCTAACCATGAAAACACAGGTACTGTACTTCTAACCATTTGGTGTTGCTTCTAACATTGAACTCTCTGAAAGCAGATCAGATGAACGATGTGATAAGAGAGGAGCAGCAAACGGACATATACAACTTTGGAGAGCTTGTTTTGGAGATCTTAACAAATGGGAAGCTGAGGAATGCAGGCAGATTGGTAGATAACAAGCCAAAGGATGTTCTCCTACGAGAAGTATACGCAGAAAACAAAGTGAGTTCGAGTAGTTATGAACAAGGAGAAGTGAAACGAACTGTTGAGGTTGCACTTCTCTGCGTAACAAGTAACGAGTCTGACCGTCCCTGTATGGAAGATGCGCTCAGGTTCTTATCTGAAGCACATAATAGGTTGAAATAGGTACTACAGACAATGTTAAAAATGCACATAGTTTTTCTTATATATATATGGTTATTGTGTTAAAACGTTCCTCTTTCTTTTATGGATAGTTCTTTGTTGGAGCCATATGTTATAATGTTGTTCTTGTATAATAATGTATTGTATTGTGTTGCTACTCTTAAATTGAGATTGGGTAGAAATACAGTGAGCTTTTGATTTGATCAGGAAAATAGTAGTAGACAACATCAAGAGTGTGTTCGGTTAGAGTAGAGAAACACAGATTGTTTGTTACATTTGTGGCTGCAGAGGAAAGAAAAGATGATTCTTTTAGCAGAGTTTACCTAAAGGCAAGAAATTAATTCAATGAATCGCTGAAACAAGAATCGAAACAAGATCTTCCCTACTTCAGCTACAGAAAACTGAGAAAACTAGCCAATGTATAGCTCTAATCATTTCCAGAGAATCAAGCAATATAAGTTTTCAAACAAATTGTTGTGAAGGAAATAGGATCCAAAGGTTCAACCCACGATAAACAAAAAACCAAAAAACATAACAAAAGGTCTTAGTAGAGGCTAAAGTAAGCAACACACAGTCTGTTCTGGTCATCATCTTTAAGCACGAACACCTCGGTTCAGACTTACCATACGGCTTGAGCCATCCACTTGCATACCACCTCTGTTTCCTGAATTAACTCTTCCTGCATACCCTCCTCGGTTCTGCCCTGACCAGTCTCTAGACTGACCATGCTGCCCTCTTCCTCCACCATAACCAGATCTGTTACCTTGTCTTCCTTGTCCATAATTCATGTTGTCCTGCCATTTCCCACCGCCAGATGCTGCTCCTGCATAGTCCTGATTGTTGTCCCTTCTCCTTGAACTCAGATCAAGACCACCTCCACCGGTTCTAGATTCCATTGCCCTTTCATTGCTTTCAGCCAAAACCGAGAGTTTCTCAGTTAACTGAAAAGCCAATGATTGTAATCTGCTGTGTTGCACTTCATGGAAGACAATGCATTGTGTTGGCTGGTCCCAGCTTGCATGAAGCTCCTCATTGATCATCATCTTGCTCACAATGCTGTGAACCAGTGCTTCAGAGACATCAAACATTTTGGCCAACTGATCAAGGCTTAGGGACTCGTAGGAGCTTGAATATGTGAACAGGTAAGTCCTTAGAGCCTCTTCTTTGATCCTAGCTTTCACCATCTCGAGGATGCTGTCCCGGTTCTTGAGCAGTCTCCAGACTTCAAGAGAGTTCAAAACTTCAAACGCCTTTTGGAAATCCCCTTTGGTCAGGGCTCTTGTGGCTGCCATGACGTGATCACGTACATTCTCAGGCGGTGCAGTGAACGCTTGCCTCTCACTGATCTCAAGCAGGCGACGGAAATTCTTGCTAATAACTCTGCGTCTTGATTCAAGAGAGTTTGCTGCCATGTTTGGGACTTCAAGTAGCATGGCACAGATTAGGTGAACAGCCTCTAGGAGCTCGAGGTTTAAGTGCATGTGGTACGGCATTTGTCTTCTCCTCTCCATCCTTTCCTGTATAAATCAATAGTACAATTTATCAAAATAAAATAAAACTGAACGTAACGTCATAACCATAAGCATACATGTTGAAATAGAGGACTAGATTGTATGAAAAGATAACAAAATAGAGACCTCAAACGCAACATAATTATATATGTACGTTAAGCTCAACTGAATAGTTTTCATACTCAAATCTGTTTCAGTCGGAAATATATGATGAAAAAAAAACAGAATATAAGTAATTACCTGTTCTGGTGTCTTCTCATGATAACGACTTTGCGAGACACCTTGAGCAAGCAACTCCCTCACTCTTTGACCAGAATACAGCTCGGCGAGGCAGCTATGAGCCTCATTGATCATTCCAACACGGAAGGCACAAAGACCAAGCTGTGCCATGGTCCTGTTAAAGAGGATTTGAGTTGAGATGTCCATGTGCTGAATGTTGTCTTGGAGATGACTCATCAGCAACAAATCTCTAGCAGTCACAAAGTTGTCCATCAAAGCATGGTGATAGATATCACATAGCATTGCACGAGCTTTGGTCCGCTCATCTCCATTTCTGTAGATTAGGGACACAAGAACATCCATCATTGCTCGGCCGCTCTCTGGGAAGGTAGGCTTACGGGGAACAACCTCTGGAACAACAATGAATGAAGAAGTAGGTCCATTTTCCTCTTCGGCCACCTCCGCTTCTTCATCTTCCTCAACCAACTCAGCCAATTTCCTCATAGCATCATAAACTTCCTGCGGCTTGTAATATATTGACTCAACTCGTCTCAAGGCTACCTTTGCAGCAGCTTTAAAATCACCCATCCGCTCCAAATAGTCTTGAATGTTCTGAGCAAGGACCAAGAACATGGGCTCATCCCTCAATCTCTCAACATACTCACGGGTGTGAGGATCAATAGACTGCAAACTCTTGAAAAACTCAGTGTCAATCCTCTCTATGAACGCAACCAAATTTCCCCATACCCGAACTGTACCATCATAGTCTGCTGGCTTTGAAGTTTCATTCTCATCAGGTTCAATTGTGTCCTCCACAACAATGTTGTTGTACTTGACAAGAATGTCCAGTATGGTGAGCATGTTCAGCACACATTTCTTCCAAACATTGATAGGCATGTGTCCGCTGAGACCTGGATTCACGTCAAATTGTGCTGAAATAACGGTAAACAAGATTTCAAGCTTCTGCGCAGGAGTCTTGGCAATCTTTGTCAAGTGCGTAAGCTGATCCACTAGCTCAAATCGTGCAGTTCCTTTCCTCCCACGAGCAGCCACAATTTCTTTGAACTTCTTGTTGACCCAATCCCAAGTTATCTCTTTAGGATCTTTGTTAAGCAGCTTCTCCATAAGCTTATCTTTTGGGTTTAGTATCTTCTCCCAGCGGTTATCAGCAGGTCCATCCACCTCGTCTTCAGACCCAGGCTCTATGACAACATCGTCCTCAGAGTCATCCTCATCGTCCTCTTCTTCGTCCTCCTCTTCTGGTTCATTCTCATCCTCAACTTCTGGAGACTCCCTATATTTAACGATATCTTCTTCGTACAGCTTATTGTTCTTCTTCAGTTTCTGTCTCATTGAGTTCAACGCCTTGGAGTTACTAGGGCTCATCTTCTTCTTAGCTTCCTTATTCGCCAGAGCTTCATTCAAGAAATCCTCCAACATCACAAGGGTTTTGATGTACAAGGTCGGAGCCTTCACAGCCTCTGTAATCCTCATAACTTTCTCAAGCTGCTTGTTGACCTTGTCAAAGTTTTCTTGCAGGCTAACCCAATCATTGATCTTCATGGCGTTCTTCATCCTCTCCACAGTGTCGGTCATCTCCTCAAAACGCTTGTCTTTGGTTGCCTTAACGACACGTTTAGTATCCGTCTCATCCTCCTCGTCACTGCCATCTTGAAGGTAACGGTTATTGACGTCGGTATTCTGAACCTCGATGACAGGATCTTCAATATCAGTATCAGTATCACTTTCACTTCCACCCTGTGAACATAGCAAGCAATTCATTAAAGAAACTGAACCAAGCAGGAGATTTAAAAGCCTATGGCAAAACATGTTTCGATAATTAAACAAGTGTAATGAAGCAAACCTGAGCGAAAAAACGAGAATTCATCTTCGTTGACAAGAGAGCTTGATGTAACCTGATACACCAAAAAGTAAGCAAGCTGAATAAAAATCACACCATATCCAAAGGAAAGATACAGCCAGATGAAGAGGAATTGAAAACAAAATTAATTCAATTCAATAACACTTGCTTTGAAAGAAAAAGAAAAAACAACTGTATTAATTCAGATTGAACAAGAAAACTGAACGACTCATCGACACAGGCAGATTCGTATGTGTTTACATTAGCTACAATTCAACGTTTGTGCTCTAAATAGATAGATATATTCCAAAACCTAACACAACAACTACAAGCTTCGAAATTTCGTTTTGTGCGGAGGTATTCATAAGAAAAGAAGGACACTTTGCCAAAATTCAATAGCTAACCCAGATAATGATCACTGAAACAGAAGTTAAAGCTAGAAATCACCTTGATTTGAAACGATGGAGATGAAAAAGCTCGGAGATGGTTAACAATCACGAACAAAGATGCGGAGAAGATAGAGATAGAGTCGCCGTCGAAAGTTTCAACCGAAGAAGGTCGAGATAACAATTAGGGTTTCTCTATTTTATTTTAGTCAAGAGCAAAAAAAAAGGAAAAGGTCGGTTATCTATTTCCAAAACCAAACCGACGTAATTGAAATCTGCTGAAAACCGTTCGGTTTGGTATTTTATGCCAAGGAATGACTAATTGACATAGAACCAGTGATGGTTATCGATGGTTTGTCGTAAAAGTAAATTATTTGATGTTTTCAATTAGACATTTTCTATCACAAAAGTCTTATAATAACCAGTAGCTCTACAAGATATTTTTACATTGTCAAAATCATACAAATGGACCAGTAAACACCTAAAACAACTTTGACTACATGGGCATGACTCAAGCATTCAGAGAGATTATCAATAATCATCTAAAACTGAATGTGTTTAAGACGTAATCTTCTCCACAACTTTGGTTTCATTGCTTCTATCCCTCTCTCTCTCAGGCTGTCTTTACATCAGTCGAAGTCATATCACGCTTCCGGAGCCATAAGTTGACAAGTATGGAATCGATCATGATCTACACATTCCGAGAAAATACATGTCAATGGTAATAAGAAGACACAACACAATACAAGTATCTATAATGTATCAACCTGGTTCAGGTGTGCAGCTACACAAGGAAGAACCAAGAGCCCTGTTTCACCAAATGCACCTCGTAACTGTTCCACCACCGCCACCATTACCGGTAATGTTTTCTATGGCACGGAATAAGAAAACAAAAACCGAGCCATGACTTTCAAATTATAAGATTGAAACTGGAGCTAAATGCAAAACTTTATTATTACCTGGCTTGCAACGAGCAAGACTGCAGTGGCATTTCCCTTGGAGTTCTTCTTACTGCCATCACCTGAA